TTTCCCCCCTTTTTTCCGCCGAGTCCCCGACCCAAGCTTGTTTCGTGACCCTGCGAAATGTTACGCAACGTTGGTACAGCTTAATTACAACTTTTTCAAGCGAGCCGAACGCAACCTTTCCGCCGCAATAAAACATGACGGGGCATGAAACGCGGCTCCATGCTTTTCTGCTTTAATGGCTTGTTCGGCGCGAGGTGAGGGGCCGGGACGGCGCAGCAAGGTGTGAATTATTGCACCATAATTCTCACCCTGGAGTGTTTTATTGCAATTAATAACTGTTTTCGTGTTTTAAATACATTTTCTCACACCGTAAAGAGCAGAAACGGAAAGTACTTGCTAATGGGAGAAATACCGGGAGGATTGGGCACACATCGCCAACCGGGGCACCCTCCTTGGGTTTTTCTCCTAATTTTGATCTGCTCTTGGATGATTTTGGAGCCCTGTTTGGCTTTAAAAGTGTGTGGGCCCAAAGCGCTGTTATTTCCCGTTGGTGAAGTAGCTCTCCCTGCAAATCTCTTCATGGATACTCTTGTGTTGGGAAGCAACTCCCATTTATTCGCAGCATATTTTCACCAAATTAACTTCAGCCACGCAAAGCCGCACATTCAGTCCCCCCCCACCAAGCTACTAACTTCTGAGATGTGTGCCTCTCTATTTCGAAAGCAGAAGAGGGATGGATTCGGAAAGAGTTTGTTGCCTTTTTGTGCAGTCTAGTCCTCTGGCAAATTTGAACCCATTCCAGTTTAATTTCGGGTGACCTGAAAGCTGAAGAAAAGCAGATATCACAAAAATAAAATGCTATTTGAGGGCCCTGATCCAGATTTTATTGAAGCTGCTGGAAATGCAAACCTTGCCTTTACTGGGAGACGAGTCTGCCTCTTGATACTGAAATGCTGCCGTAAAAATGCTAGTACAGTGATGCTTTTCTCCACTTGTTATTAAAAAAACTGGGAAGGTGATGCCTGGGGTTAGTCAGCACACCCTGCTTCTAATATGCACATACAATATAGTGCGCTATATTGACATCACTGAATAGATTGCAACTTGTTAACCAGTCTGATGTCAAAAAGCCAATCTTTAAGAGCAAATACAGGGATGGGGAATACAGGTACCAAGACAGAAAATTGATTGGTAGTTTGAACTTTCATTTAAGAAAGACTTAATGGGATGAGGAGATTAATAAGAGCGGGGGGGATGTCTCTCGGGCTGTCTGTCAGGGTTTCAAGTACCCCAAGAGGTCAGTGATAACAGCAAATGGGTGAGGTGGGTCCAATAGCTTGGTAGTCTCTTTCTGGATGTTACTAGACACATACTTGGCCCATTGTCCGGTTTCTAGTGGGGACACAGCACAAAGCTAATTCTAGTAGCACTAAAAGAAGGAAACTGTATTTCAGTTTAGTCTGGTCGGTGTTTAGTAAATCTCTGACAAGGTCTTGCTTCCTCTTCTGCCGCTGCAGCCACCGCTGTGGCTTTTTCTGCATCTTCTTGCTGCTGTTCATGTGTTTATTGCACTTGGGGCTGTTTTATGCACCAGGATCCCATGCGTGCTGGGCAAGGTACAGGACAAAACCATGTCTCTCGTCCTGAAGAGCCAGCAATGTAAGAAACGGGAGAAAAGCAGCAGACAGAGCTGCCCCACCAGGCAGTGACGGTTTGTAACAGGAGAAAACAGGCAGTACGTTCTCTCCTTTCAGCCTGAAAAGCAAGGATGGGTGGCAGCAACCCCTGCACGTGTCCTGGTCACTCTGAAATCAGGCTCTTCTCCTCTTCTCTGCAGTGCAGGGACCCCAGGACAGAGCACCTGAAAGCAGGTGACAACATTTCCAGCCAAAGGGGTTCAGTGCCTTCTGCGGTGACAGCATTGAACGGAGCCCCTGAGGGAGAGGTGACAGAGGGGAGGCTCTGTCACCTGTGGCATCAGCCTGGGCAGCAGGACTAGCCAAGGGAGCTTCCATCCCTGGGCTGGGAATCCTGCAGCGCACCTATAAGGGAGAAATAATTTAATGAACCCCATTTTAGAACTGAAACACATGGCGTCGTACCATCACAACACTTGCTCTGCCGATGCTTTGTGGTATTTATCTTAACGCTCCCCCTGGAGATTGAATTCCCTCATCAGTCTCCCTGTCATCTTTAATGAACACTGACCATACGTTAACAGTGAGGTGATGCTGGTAATTGAGAATAAGACAGGCTTTGTGCCTATGTCTTTTTGTTTGCTTCTACTGAAGTCCATTTAATCCAATTGGATGTTGCTTTTAAAACAGCATGAGTCAACTGAATTTATTTTTAAGGAAGTCTGCCTGAAAAAAAAAAATTAAATATTAATAATATCTGAATGTGAATACGTTACTCAGCAGAAAAATCTTTACAAGACCTTAGTTTATTCTGCAAGTGACTTCACTAGTTATTTTTTAAAAGCTTGGAGTTTTGTATAAATCTTCACTTCTGAACAGATGAAACAAACAAAATGTAAAACTCATCTCCATAAACCACAACAAAATAATAATTTCCAGATGGGCTTTCTGATGGAAGATCAAAGTCCTTCAGCTCAGACTTGGGAAATTTCCCTTCCATGCTGATATAAGTTTTATCTGAATGCAGTTCATCCGACATTTGCTTTCTTCAAAAAGGCAATTACCTAGATGAAGCTGCAGGAGAATGGGCTGAGGGCTGAAGAAAATAGAAAAGATTTTAATAAAATAGTAAAAAAAAATGTCTGGGGAGGTAAGAGGAGAATTTATACAAAAATTAGACATTTCCATACACTGAAAAATGCCGGCTTCATGGGCAAAGATGAAATAAGCAGAAAGGAGTTGTTTCTGCATTGGTGCAACTGGTTTGGACAAACTCCCTGCCGTGCATCTCTGATTTCAAACGCCAGCCAAACTAGTCGTGTGGCTAGAAAATAATAGGTTAGTGTTTTTCCATAGATGTTTTACTCATCTGTGCATTTTGAGATTTCGCTTCCCAGCAGCGAACAGTCTCTACAGAAAGCCTGTACTCGTAGGCTGTCTGCATTTTCAGCTTCGCGGTGCCGTGGAGTTCGTGTAAGGCTTTCTGCTTCCGAAGTTCATCCACTGCTAGCAGATGCACCCATCACTCTGAATTCTATTTCTGTATTTTAGCATATACAACATAGAGGTACAAAATCCCTGCTCATTTCATTAAGCCTGGGATTTTCAAAATATTGCGGAAGTCAAATTCCTCAGTCCTATTCATCCACTTCAGAGCCTGCCTTTCTGGAGGACACTAGTTTTGCTCTCCATCTCTCTCTCTCTCTCACACACACATTTTCATCTTGGTTTTTTTTTCTCTCTACTTCCACGCTTACACAGAAACACCACAGTTCAGTATTTTTGTCTCCTTGGTGCCATGCAAGACATACCTTTTTGGCTAAAAAGGGCTGCGAACACACCACCCGAAATACTAATGCGTCTCAGCAATGAATAGTCTTTCACCTTGGAAAGCTTAATCTGCTTTTTCCTGACCGCCTTTCCCAGCCCACCATCAATGTGAAACATCAAAAAACTTCACAAGAAAAAAATCAACCGATCAAAACTCACAGTTGCACAAATAATATTTTAGAAAGCAATTCATCTGAAGGTCTCTTGACAAAGGGGATTATGGAACTGAAATGTAATTATCTTGGCATTTAAGTTTCTATTTCCACCATGTGGTTTGGTTCACATATTTGACTGCAAAGTTTTATCATTCAAAACAGCCTATAGGTCTCTTTTTCATTGCAGACACAAGGCAGGTACAGCCATCTCCGCCATGGTCCTACGACCAGTCCTACCAGTACCTGGGCTCCATTGCCACCCCCTCCCTGCACCCCGCCACACCAATATCACCCGGCAGGGCTAGCGGCATGACATCCCTCACCGCAGAGCTTTCGAGCCGGCTGTCAAGTAAGTACCTAAAAGTTAGTCCCCCTGCCCCGGGCCTCGACAAGGTTTTGAGGCTGACTCCAATGCAAACAGGTTGCAATGTCCTAGGGTGCTGCTGCAGCTTTTCTCCCGTTGCAGTGAAGCCTAGTGCGGGCCCTCTGCAGCAAGCCTTCTCCAATGCTTTGCTGGAATTTGTGCAGAGTACAGAAGTATGGTTCGGGGCCCAACATATCATTGTCAAAAAAGAAAAAAAAGAAAAAGAAAGAGGAGAAGGCAGCACTTTGAAGATGCATGGAACTATAAAAATAGTTCAGAGTGCTGAAGAGCTATCGTATCTGCCAAGAAATGAATGCCACAGATATTTCAGTTCTGTTTCCTTCCCTCGCTCTAAATTCAGACCAGAGCACAGCAGGTTATGGGTGGACACACTGACTGCAGGATGGTGGGGTTTGACATTTTAAGTGTTGCACTGGATTGTCTTGTTACATCTTCGTCAAATTGTACTGCAGAGCTTTACAAGCCAACATAAAAATATAGCATGGAAGTGAAAGCTACCCCCCTGGTTTCCACCATGCTCAACTGACCATCTGCTGACTCTAACCCACACATATTGAACCAATATATGAGTGTTCAATAGCAGGAATTTTCTTAAAATGAATGGGAGCCATATAATTCAAATTTGGACACGGCTTTTTCAAAAATATCTTCTTTGGCCGCACATATTGCTCTCATTTGAATACTCAGGGCTTCTTCTAAGATCAGAGAGAATCACTTGAACGTGCTCCAGCCTGTCGTACTGTTGTCATGTAGAGCCTGCTTTGAAAGAGTCACAACAATGATGCCCACCAAAAGTAAATTATTTGTTAGGTCTGGGTGCTAATTACATCTTAGAGATAGAGGAAAATACAGGAAGCCTTTCAGAAAGAAAAAAAAAAAAGGAAATTTCTTGTTTTAAAAAAAGTCTATAAAAATTCTGATTCTTCATTGACACACTCTTCTTTTAAAATGAAAAGACTCCTTTTTACTTTCTCCCCTGTGCTTCCCTCCCCTTGCACTCCTTTCCACTGTCAAAATGCAGAAACAGAGAAAACAGAGAAGGATGAAAAAATATCTTCTTCATAGCAACCAGAAAATTTAAAATAAAACAAATTCTTTCATCAAGTTTTTTACTTAGAAAAGTAATTTTTCTTAACATAATTGTTTGAAATTGATCTTTACCAGTTCTCTTGATTTTCAAACCCTATACATGGGTGCCTGATGCATGCGAGCTTGCAGGTGTGGATACATGAATCAGACTGAATGGAGATGTTAATCGCATTTTACCTTTACCAGTGTGGCGACTGAGGTTGCGCTCAGATGAACACATTGAAATTCAATGTTTTCGCATTGGTGTAGTGCCCAAATGCTGTCATTGTGAACCAGGGCCCTTACTGTGCTGTGCGCGGTGTGAGCACGGAAGGCTTCCACGGTCTTAACAGGAGATAGCCGTGTCTGCGTGGGGTAACTGCACGCCGTGTTTCTGCTGTGGCAGGTGGTGAGCGTGGAGGTAGAGCACCAGTGCTAGGGCCCGTCAGTTCTTTTTGTTCTCATGCCAAAGTGATTTCCTTTAGGGCAGGCATAGTGTCTCCGTGACTTGGGAAGGAACCTGGAAGAGCTTCATTCGCATGTCGGTATTCTTTCTTGCTTGTCTTAGTTCTGTACATGGAGGCTCATCTCTACACATCTGAAGCGTTTTTTATAATGCTCCGAATGTTACTTCCATATTAAATGTCATTCAGTATTCCCAGAAAAAACTTTCACAATATTTTCTCCCCAATCCGGTTACTGTCACACACACTTGCTGTCTGTCTAAGAAATTTCTCCTTGTCAGAGCAAAGAACAAATTTGAGGGTTTTTTTAGGCCCTACCATCTAAAGACACGGTGCCTCCAAAGAAAAAGCTAAGAAATGGGGCATACTTAAACCACCTTGACATTAAGTCTCATTATTCTGCTTTTTGCCAAACCGGGCAGAAGAATCCCTCATCTGATCAGTGATGTGCCCAGGCAGTGTGAAGAAGTTTGATTTCTTTCTCAGGAATGAGGTGTGGAAGTACCATTTAAGATCTGGCAGGTTGTCAGATGTCACCTCCAACCTTAGCTACTCTGAAGCTCCTGCCATTTCCTACCATAGCATATATCTTGCCATGCTAAATCTAAAGGTGCTGGGGTCTAGGGGAAGGAAATGTGTTTAGGGGTCCCGTTAATCTTCCAGAAAGAAATGGAAGGCAAACTCAAAAAGGAAGCGTACATCATGCGTCAGAGATTTTCTAAGAAATTTATAGAAATTCAACAAAGTGTTCTGGCTGTGTTGTTGACGAGCTTTCAGAACTTGGCGCGGTAGTGTGTCTGCTTTAGCTTTAAATCTGGTCAGAGCCAAGAGCTTTGTTTTCTCTCTGCTGCTTTTCATGAGTATTTCCTTCAGCGCGTGGCTCCTTTTCTGCAGACTCCACGTCTTGTCTGACAGAAGAAGCTGTCTTCTGGAAAGATTTTTTCTTAATTATTGTTGTTATTTTACTCATGCATAGCTGCCAGCTCTAGGGACTGACACCTTCCATTAATCTGAGTCACGATGAAGATCCTTCCTAAAGAGGCCATTATCTGCTCTGCTTGTTTAATCCTTGCACACCAGGGAAGGAGACAGTGGGAGCGGGCATACTTCCACAGATGTCAGACAAAGCGGAGCAGAATTTGACTGTCCTATGAAACATTTCGTGTAGCAGGACGAGAAAGGCTTCTAGGCACATGCGAAAGGAAGAAAAAAGGCCAACCCCTATCATTCTGCTTTAAAAAGGCAGAACTTCTGTTGTCCTTTTTTACATACTCATTAGAGCCAAGATTTTCAGAAGCGAGTAACAATTACGTAGACATTATACGAGGACCCAGATACAAAGACCTTAAGCGAACCCAATTTATCTTGACTTTGGTAGTGTTGAGAGTCAGTGGGGAACTGTGCTCCTAGGTGCTGACAGCTGGGCTGAGCCTGTGTGTGTGTAAATCCTGCCCATGCGGTTCGTGTGCCCAAAGGACAATCTCTGCACCATGGAGCTTCTCATTTGAGCCAGCAAATAAAACTGGGTGCGAGGAGAGCCTATGCAGAAGCTGGACAATTTATTTTTAGGCCCCATCGGTGTCCCTGGTGAGTCAAGTGATGCTGGGCAAGGAGCTTGTGAACTGCGTCCTGTTCCCCACCCACCCACCCTCTCTGGAAGTGTAAATAGTGGCATGTGCTGTAAGGTCTCTAAGAGCAAACACATATGCATACAAAACAGGGCGAGAGCTTGGCACTCCTCTTTAATTGCTGCTTTACTGAAATTAATCCAAAACATCCAGATCCATGAGCGCTACAATGAGCAGGTAAGGGATAGCTCTGTTCTGGCACTATCAGCACCGCTTTGGTTAACCATAGACCAGAGTTTGAATGTCGGTTATCGCCTCGAAAAGGTGAACCTCCTTTCTGCCAGCTCAACTGTTCTCTGTCTCCCTTCCCCACCACCCAGGTGCTTCTGACTTGACTGCCTTCAGTGACCCCCGGGTGGGAATCGACCGCTCCTTCTCCGCGCTTCCCTCCATCTCCGACCCTCGGATGCACTACCCGGGAGCATTCACCTATACGCCGACGCCCGTCAGTTCAGGGATAGGAATCGGCATGTCTGCCATGTCCACAGCCACGAGATACCACACGTACCTCCCGCCTCCCTACCCTGGCTCATCGCAGGCCCAAGGCAGCCCATTCCAGACCAGCTCGCCCTCCTACCACCTCTACTACGGAACCTCTGCCGGCTCCTATCAGTTCTCCATGATCTCGGGGGGAGACCGGTCCCCCCCACGCATCCACCCCCCCTGTACCAACGCCTCCACGGGATCGACACTCCTCAACCCCAACCTCCCCAACCAAAGCGATGTGGTTGAGGCAGAAGGGAGCCACAGCAACTCCCCCACTAACATGGCGACCACAGCGAGGCTAGAGGAAGCGGTGTGGCGACCATACTGAAAAAATTTCGAGTAGTTATGGGCCAGGACTAACGTGATTTCCATTTCCCGGTGCCCGTAGGTATCCCATAAACACCTGTCATGCTTATGGGCCCTGCCATGTTCGTACATCACTTTGAGAAGGAAACCCTCCAGAAGCCAGCGCTCCCAGGAGCGGTGGCATGCATTAGCCAGCCCCTGGCGAAGCGACTTCGCTCCAGCAAAGCAACCCTCGCAGGGGGCTGAGCTTCTGGAAAGGAGGACGCCTGAGTTGGTGGTCCAGAGGTAGCGAGGATGGGTAGAAAAGTACCCCATCTGTTTTCCAGGCCTGTGGCTTTCTAACATGCCTGGGCTTGAAGGTCTCTACAGCCCTAAAGAGAGTTTCGGTTCACTTCTATTTTTAAGACTTAAAACCTAAAAAAGATCTTAGTGAGTTTACTGCATCTTATGGACATATTAACTGTAAGGAAGTATAGGAAGATTCCCAGAGGGAAACTGTGAACGCTTCTGTTTTAGCAATGCTGTGAATGAGAGGTTTTATATGTTGAACTTCATTCTTTCTTCTTTTTTTTTTTTTAAAAAAAAAACGTGTTGTATATTCCAAAGAATATGGAAATTTTTTATTGCTGGGGTTTTTTTGTTTTGTTTTGGGTTTGTTGTTTTGGGTTTGGGGGTTTTTTTTTAGGATGCAGCTCATCCTGCTTTGCATCTAATTTGTTTTATTTCTCTTGGCACCTTATAATTGCAAAAAAAAAAAGATTTTACTCTTTTTTTTTGTTTTAATCATGCTTGCTTCTTTCTTGCTTTGTCAACTGAAAGAATCAGCCCTTTTCTCAATGAGTTAATTTAACTTTTTTCTTTTGGACTTTTTTTTTTTTTAAATACAACGGCTACAGCCTTGGGTCATTTTCAACTACTGTACTACTTTGATGAGTTCATTGATATTTATGCTTGATATTTAGACTTTTCTTATTTGTTGATACTATTATTATTTAAATATGCCTATATTAAAAAAGAACAGCAATTGCCTTTTTTGGTAGCAGCCAAAGTCAAATTTATCACATTGAAAAAGGCTGGAGAAACGATGGGTAAAGTGACCTCCTAATTACCTGGAAATATTGTTTACAGTTATCTCACTCTCATTTTGCTCAGCTAACTGGGGTCAGATCCTCCAAGGCATTTATGTGCCCAACTCCCACGGAAATGATTTAAGCACCAAAATCCCTGTGAATTTCTGTGCCTTCCCACCCGGTGGAGTCATCTCTCCCTACTCCTTCCTCTCTTTTCCTTCGTCACCAGTGGTGACCCTCAGGATCAGTAATCAGGATGTACATATTTCATAAGGCAGACCCAATATTCCCTAACTAAATGCATCCCCGTATGGCCCCATTCTGCTCCCAAGCTTGCCTGGGCTTCCTAGCAGCACTGGTGGAGGCCTCCTAGTCTTTCAAAAGTGAAAGCCAACAGGCAGCTAGCATGGCAAGGGTGAAGTCCTGGCTCCGACAGAATCAGTGTGAGATTTGCTCCCAGCTCAGCGGAGCCAAGATTTCGGCACAGTACAAAAGCCACGTTCCAGTGTGCTGGAAAATAGATCAGTTCATGCATGACAAAATAACCCCGACTGAACAGGGTTGTCAAGCTCATCTGGAAAGCAGGCTAGCAAAGAAGGGGCCTTAATAGTTCCTCCGTCACCATCTTCTGAGGGAAGAGGAAGGGTATTTAAAACTGGTGCACACAATATTCTGTCCTGCAGCAAGCATGCAAGGCTGATACTAACAGCACGTTAACACAGAGTCGTCACCATTGCCCATCGTTATAGCACAAACATATCAGATGTCACTGTAAAGTTTATGGCACTATTTTATTTGAGGGTTTGGTCTGAATGCAGTTGTTGTACTACTCGTTAATTGCAAACTGCTGATGTTGACACGCGTGCGTTCCAAATTAGCTGATTATTATTTAATGTACGTCTTAAATGAGTGAAACAATTGCAGGTCAACTCAGAGAGTATTTGAAAGCAGGACTTCAGATCAGTGTTTGATGTTTAAAAAAAATTAAAAGGATTCAAATTAAAAAGATCCTTGGCTGCAGGCAGCAAAACAGCTGGACTTATTTAAAACCATTTGTTTTTCAAGTTTTCCTTTTTTTTTTTTTAATATGATTTTGCTTCTTTGTTTAAGTCGATGCAGTAGCACTTTGGTATTGAAAAGTTACAAATTGAAGAATTTACATTGTCAGTAAGGTCATTTTTGTGCAGAAAATGGGGAGTGTTTCAAGAGATCTCAGCAAAAGTCCAAAATGGTTCTGTTAAAATACAGGCATGGCCTTGTGCTTTTCATTTAGCATAGTATTCTTTATCGTTTTCCAGAGTTTGCTCTGAACAAAAAAGGCAGGAAACATCAAAATTGCATCAGAACAGTTAAAAATATATTTTGGAAGTACAGAGACTTTCCTGAATACGGAAATAGAGAGACCCTACCTGTTGTGGCATTTAGATAGTTGGAACCTCACCTCTTCAGTAGCCTAAAAAAAAAGTCCTTCATCGCTAAGCAGTAGCTCTGTTGCAGAATCCCGTCTTTTTACACATTCTCTGCCGCTGTGCCATTAAAATCATCATTTACTGCAACTCTCGCACCCGCCTTGCGACTGGACCACCCAAGTGCATAGTACTGTGAGCGTGAACCCAAAAGTGAGGGAGAGGAGAGGACCTCGGAGGAGGCAGATGCCTCGCTGCGGAGGGCAGGGCTGGGCTGCCGTGGCCAGGCGGCTTCAGCCCGGTGGCAGATGCGAGGGCGATAGGGCTCGTACCCTCCCAGGCCTGTCTGTCGCCACAGACTGCTTCCCGCTCAAGCCCTTTTCCCCCTTCAGCCTGTAGTTTGCACCACGCGCTTCTGAAACTAACAGATCAGGGATTTGTGAGGCCGGGGAGTTGGCATCTCTTAGCCTGGAGATTAGACCTAACACTGAACAGTTCTTCTTGTCTGCAAATCGACTTTCTTTACACTTGCCCCGAAGGTGAAGTTTAATTTTATGCTCCCTGGTCTGAACAGGATGAGAAACTGCAAACTGGTCGCCACGCTTACCCTGTGTCTTCACCCAGACATAACCAAAACCCTGGGATTTCCCAGTGTCTCACACATGATAATTGCCAGCAACTAAACTTTTGAGTCTAACCTCTCCGTGTACATCAAGCACAGCACAACGCAGCACCCTCTTTAGAGAGGAAAAGCTAAGTTCATTATCCTTCGCAATTAGCCTGTTCAGTCACTGTGGGTTTCAGTGTACTCGCACAAGTGCTCATGAGAAACCACAGTTTACTCAACTCTACATGTTTGTAGCCATCCCCTGCCCCACTAAGGACAGCAGAGATCTTCAAGGCCATAAAAATGCTCTGGTGCTGTATCTTAAGGGCACTCAGCAGGCAGAAAGAGGGCATTTGGAGAAAACATTTTCCCCATTCACACGTCTCCAAATTATAGTATACAAGTATATATTTTTATATATA